TCATTGATGACTGAGGTACGAGGAGGTCACTGTCCTTGTAATAACTGAGGGTCTTTTAACTAAATCTCTGGACACTTACTAAATGCCAGGAACCATGCTCAGTTCTTTATGTTCAGTATCTCTGTTAATGGCCACAACTATCCTATGTGGTAGGTGCTATTGTCCTCCTTTTACAAATAAAAAAATCCAAGAAACAAAAAACATAAGGTTATAAAAGGCAAAATAACTTGCCCAAGGACACAGGTGAAAAAACATTCACCCTTCTGTCTAATCCTTCTGGTTTGTCTGTCTTTGCACCAGGTGATAAAGTCACATGATTGCTGTCAAAGTCTATAGTCTTTGGAAGCCAAAATCCACAGACGCTCCAGAAGGCAGAACAGATCCTCTGAGGCCTAATGTACGGGAATCTTCCCTCACATTGGGGTGGAGAGAGCCCCAAACCCAGAGGAACGGGGATGGCTACTGACTTAACCGGGCTCTCTCGGGCCACCCACTTCACTTCTCTGGACCTCGGCTGCTTCATCTGCAATAGATGGGGCGTGCACTTGAGCAGTGTTTTCCACGCTTTGAACTTTTTATGACATGGAGTGAAAAAAGTTTTTTATACCATGACCCAACACACACACACACACACACACACACACACACACACACACACACACACACACACACTCAAACACACACCCTTCTGAAACAAGAGGTTTACAAAACAACACTCAGCCCTACTGTTTACTGCCCTCTGATTTATTCTATTCTATTAATTCATTTTTGGGGGGCAAAAACCCCATCTGGTTGCTACTTGCTAAACTGATATTTTAATCTATTAATAGGTGGCAAATCATGGTTTAAAAAACTCTGGACTAGAGGAATGAGCCACTGAAAAAGAATAGCTTAATAATCAAGTCAGGGATGCTCTGTGGGAGAACTGTGAATTAGGCAAAGCTTATCTGGCACTTTCCCAACTTTTAGGGACACATTTTCCCGGCTTACTCTAGCCCCATTTTATTTTTATAACTTCTACCCCTAGTAACCCTCACACCTAGCTGCTTTATACTCAAATGTCAAGTAATATTTCTGATTTTGCTTTCTCTGAGATAGCTCTGTCTCCTTAAATCCATCCTCCCACTTTTTGCTCAGGCTGCCTTTAGTGGATTTCTGTTACTTGCAGTTAATGCAGGGCCTCTGCTGGAGAGAGGTCTTCATGGATTCTAGTCCTTGAAAGCACTCACCTTTGACTTTCAGAGTCAGGTACTTGTAGTCCCAGGCGAGTCCATAGATGATCAGGCAGCGGTACTGCCCTGCGTCTCTCACTTGGACTTGGGGGATGTGGAACAAGGCCTTCCCCAGAGGCAGGTGCTCTTCCAGCAAAGTGGCCCGTTCACTGTGTGAGGATGTATCGTTTGCCACCTTTTGCAAACTGGCTTTTGGTGCTTCAAGTTCCACACGACCTCCAGTGTCAAAATCACACTCGAGGGTCACATTGCTTCCATAGTCCACTGTGTACAGTTCCTTAGGGACTGTCACTCTGAACAAAGCTGAAAAGAAAATAAGACTTTTTCGGTTTTCATTTATGAGCTACTTTTAATGTTAATTTTTTTTTCCTTTTTGTCTTTTTTACTGACCGGCAACGGGATTGCAACCCTTGGTGTTGCGCCCACACAGCGCTCAGCCAGTGAGCGGGAACCGGTCTCCACATGGGATCCGAACCCTCGGCGGGAGCGCTACCATGCTCCCAAGCGGCGCACTCTCCAGTGTGCCACCGGGCTGGCCCGTTAATTTTTTTTAATTAATGAATTAATTGAAAAGAAGACATTTTGCTGTTGTCTGCTTTGACTTTATATTTCAGTTCTTTCCCGAGTGGGAGCTGAGACCCGTACCACCTCCATTGTCCAGGAGATACCTGTCATTATCTCTGCATTCCCTTGAGCATCTCCTTGCTCTCCTTTGCCCCATGCAGTCTGGGCAAGGGTGGAATTCTTGACCTGCTGCTCTGATGTAGAATTTAATAACACTGCTTTATTTCCATCACATTTATTTTTGTTCCTATTCTCTATTTACCAGTACAAGTGATAACAGTTTTCCATCTACCACAAGGGTATACTGCTTTGTTAAAAAAATTAAAAGCTGAGTTGATTTAAATAATTCTATTAAAAAAAATAGCATAAGGAGTGGCCAAACATGGCAAAACTAGTGAAGACAGTATTTGCGTGAAAAAAGCATGAGAAACAGTACGAAATTATGCTGCACCTGTCATTCATAAATGATGGAGGTATAGGAAGATCTTGAAGTAGTTTTTGAATCATCACAGAAGATCCAATCAAGTAGAACTTGCTTTATTCATTCATTAATTTATTCCATCAAATCATTCATTCAACAAATATTTGGAGGCTTCTTGCAAGCATTAGCTATTTGAGGGGTTGTTTCAACATAAAACATGGTATGGGATGAGCATAGGACTCTGTGACAGCTGAGCCTGAGTGCAAATGCTGACTGCATCAGGATTAGGAGCCCTTTAACCTTGAGTCCATTTATTTAACCTCTATGAGTCTCAGCCTCTTTTTCTGTAAGATGACGTTAGTATCTATCCCTCAATGTTGCAGTAAAAGCTGGACAAAGTTATACATGTGAAGTACCCAGGTCTGGCTGGCAGTAGGTGCTCAGCAAGCAGAAGTTCCTTTCTTTTGTACTATGCTTCAGATCTTGAGAAGGTGGTAATCATATATGGAATGAGTGGTCATTCTTTACTGGCTAGACTGTTTTACCAACCAGGACAATCCATTCCCTAACCAGATTCTATAGTATAAGCAGCTCAGGTTTTCTTCGCTTGAATGATTCACACTGCAATTCTCTTCTGATTCAAGGTTTTCCTCCCACTCTCCTGCAAGTCTATGAAGGCAGTGACCTGGGTGAGTTTGCTTTGATATCCCTTGTACCTAGTACATAGTAAGTTCCAGTTATGAGTTTGGCATAAATGACAGAGAAAGAGAAAGAGAAAGAGAAGGATGACTCTGACCATAATCTCTTTTGTTTTCCTCTNCTTCGCTTGAATGATTCACACTGCAATTCTCTTCTGATTCAAGGTTTTCCTCCCACTCTCCCGCAAGTCTATGAAGGCAGTGACCTGGGTGAGTTTGCTTTGATATCCCTTGTACCTAGCACATAGTAAGTTCCAGTTATGAGTTTGGCATAAATGACAGAGAAAGAGAAAGAGAAAGAGAAGGATGACTCTGACCATAATCTCTTTTGTTTTCCTCTCATCAAATTGCAAACTTGCCCGAGATCACATGAATTCTCAATCTTCATTGCCACATGGCACAATTGGTAGTGATATTCACAAACTTGAGATTTATCAGAAATGACTGACAAGCTTCTATCTTGCCTCCATCTTCTGACCACAACTAGAACATTAATGTGCCTTTCTACGGAGACCTATGATACAGAGAGAAGTCCACATGGGCCCAGCATTCTTACGTGCAGGATGGTGGCAGGGGCAGGGCTATGGATGTATAACAATGCTAATCACACCTGCACTTGCTGGGCAGGGTTGAGAAGATCCTGAGATGATACTTATGAAAAGGAATGTTGGGCTTCAGAATTTTCTGTATGGTTTCATTTTGTGGCATCCACTGTACACTGGAATAACTCTCACCTCGGGGTCTCCATAAACCCTCTTAAGGGTAGATCTCTTTATGATTGGAACCATCTCTAAATAATTGAGTTACTAAATCCCCTCATAACTAAGTCAGAGCTACCTGATACCAAGTCTACCCTTCCCTGAGAGAATATAGTTATTTATTAATTCATCAAATATATATTAAGAATCTTCTATATGCCAGGTTCAGGAATTTACTACTCCCTTTACTTTTCTCATAGTAGTTCCTTCTCTTATTATATTATATATGATAAACCTGAGAACAGGGAATGAAATGGGTTAGGTGCTGAGTCTAATGACAAAAATTAGA